CGGGCTCTGGGCTGATGGCTCGGAGCCTGGATCCTGTTTCCGATTCTGTGTCTCCCTCTCTCTCTGCCCCTCCCCCGTTCATGCTCTGTCTCTCTCTGTCCCAAAAATAAATAAACGTTGAAAAAAAAATTAAAAAAAAAATAAAAGACAAGGTGAAATCATTTTGGAAACAAGGTGACCTATCTATCAATGTTGGACATAAATATTCATGCCCTCAGTACCGCTCTGAGGGGTACCCCAGAGAAACCCTGCATGTGTCCATAAGGAGACCTGTATATGAATGTTCATAGCAACATCATTTATAGTAGCTGGAAGCCCTTTGCTTGCAGTGCTCTTGCTCCCACCCCACCCCCCATATCTGTATGGCTGGTTTTCCCCCTGACTTTAGGGCTTTACTTGCAGATTACCTTCTCAGTGGGGCCTTCCCTAAGACTTCAACTTAAAACCCCAACCATTCTCTCCAGCATTCCTTGCCCCCCTTCCCTACTTGGCCCTTAACAGTTATCCCCATCTGATGTGTTATATATTTTACTTATTTTTCTGTTGCACATTCTCCTGTAGAATGTGAGCTCCATGAAGGCAGAGGTTTTGTGATTTTTATCCACGGCTTTATTCCCAGTTCCTTGCATAGTAGGTTCTTTAATGAATATTTAATGAACGAACCTAAGTGTCCATCAAAAGTAGATGGGATAGGGGTACGTGGGTGGCTCAGTTGGTTAAGTGTCCAACTTCAGTTCAGGTCATGATATCATGGTTCATGAGTTCGAGCCCCACATCAGGCTCTGTGCTGACAACTCAGAGTCTGGATGGAGCCTGCTTGGGAGTCTGCGTCTCCCTCTCTCTCTGCCCCTCCCCCACTCACACTTGGTCTCTCCTCAAAAATAAATATTAAAAAAAAAAAAAGATGGGATAAACAAGTTGTGGTACACTCATTCAAAAGGAAACTAGATAGCAGTGAAAATAAATGAAATAGAGCCTCACATATCAAAAAGGAAAAATCTTGCAATGGTAAACACAGAGCAAAAAATTTAAGTTGCAGATAAAATCTTGATATATTTATATGAATGCAAAAAATGCACAGTAAGTGTTTTGTATTGCTCTGGGATACACATATGTTGTAAAGTTTCAGAAACAATAATCCACATCTCATTCAGGATAATGGCTGTTTCTAGAAGGTGGTTTCTGTCAAAGAGGGGAACACAGGTTTCAGCTGCATGGATAATGTCCTATTTTTTTTTTTTCCAGG